AGAGAGAGAGAGAGAGAGAGAGAGAAAACACTACAGTTACATGTTTACTCTCAGTTTATTTCATCTGAACTCCCAGCAACCTTGTGAGGAAAGCATGGCAGACATTGTACAGGTGAGCTTCACACAGAAAGTGTGTGGAAAATGGAATGAAAAATTGTTGGGATTTTTCCACCAACTCTTGGAAATTCCCTTGTAGCCTGATTTTATTGTTAGGAAGCTAATATCTTTCTGGGTGTGATTAAAGGAACTTAAACTCTGAGGTAGTTTGATGTCAGGTTCAGCATTGTTTCTTTTATAAAACCTTACCTCTTTTCTGTCCACAGTCAATGAGAAAACATTATAAAGCACGAAAAAAAAAAAAAATAGGGATCAAGTCTTTCTCCTTTTACTTTCCCCTGTGTAAAAGCTGTCATTCTGCTTTTTATTTTGTGTGTTTGTGTGTGTGTGTGTGTGCACTAATGTGTGACCGTGTGTGATGATTCTAGACTTACCCGTTGGCATCTCATCTCTAAGCCTTACCTTTGCCACCCTATGTGGTCATTGGTAGACCACCCGGTAGATTGCTGGCATTTATTAATTACTGAGTAATTTTACACATACAGTACCTGGGGGAGGAGACGATCCCTGAGAAGTCTGTAGGTGGGTCGAAGCGTATCATAAAATAGCACCCCAAAACGAACAGCTTTTGTTGCTTTAAATAATCTTCCATTTAAAGCATTGCTTTCCTGCATTGAGGATCGACTTTGTTACAAAAAGCAGTAAATGAAAAAATGTGAAGGATTAAAACAAAGGAAGGATCACAGCATTTGGTGGTGGATCTGTCAGTAATTTAAGGGCAAGCATTCTGGGAGGTGTAGAAAGGGTTTGTGTTACCTGGCTCTCTCTCTGGGATAGCCCAAGTCAGGTTTATTTGCAGAGGGTGTGAGCCATCGCTTTCTAAGGTGTTTTATCCAGCTGTGCAAATGTTTGTTTCACTTTGGACTTAAAGTAGAATCCATGGGGTGATAATAAACTTTCCTGCAAATATGTACAGTAATCTTATAGAAGTAAAATATTGATTTAATGAGTTAAGGCTTATCATCACTCATCAGAAGTACAAATAAAAGTTTGAAAGGCTGAATAAAAAGAGAATGGTGTTGATTTGATTTATGCCAACTTTTTTCTCTCATCCCCGTTTTAGGGACCAGATGCCCCACGGATTTTGCCGAGGTGCCTTCCATCCTGATGGAGTATTTTGCCAATGATTATCGAGTGGTTAACCAATTTGCCAGGCATTATCAAACTGGGCAGGTAGGAAAAATTGTTATTATAACAGCCTTTGGATCCTTAGTGGCTCTGTTTGTGGATTAGAATCAGGATGAAGGTAATCATTCCTGATACCCACGGCCCATGCGGTACACCTTCTCTTACTGCCCAGAGCGAGGGCACATCTCACAGCTTCAAAGAACATCATCTATGAGGCAGTCCAACAGGCAGATGCCAGCTGCAAGTTTGGGAGTCCACAGGACACCCTCACTTTCACTGCTGTTCTCCACCCCCCATGATTTGCTGAATCCCTCACAGAACTCAGGGAGACTATTGTCCATGTGACTATGGGTTTATTAACTAAAAGATACAAATGAGCATTGTCATAAGGAAGAAGCGTGTATTGTTTATGCTGTGTTACGGAATTAACATTTACTGTCATTGTGTGGGAAAGGTCTAGGAGGGTCCCCAATGGGAAAGCTGAACATTTCAGAGGGTTCACTGACCAGAGCTGTAGGAAGGGCTAACTCATGCCTCCTGAGTTGGTTATACTGGCCTTCCAGGTGTATGTTTGCTGGGCTGGCCAGCATAACTCTTCAGGTATGATCTGGGAGTCCCAGACCAAGGCACCCCAAGTACTCCAAGAGTTCTTTCTCAGGGACAACCCCAAAGGTCACCCTGCTTTGCTGCTGTTGTTAAGTGTCATGGAGTCGGTTCTGACCCATAGCGACCCTGTAGAGGGTTTCCAAGGAGCAGATGGTGAATTTGAACCACCAAACGTTCAAAACGACCTTGTGGTTCAATGCTTATCCTACAGACCCACACCAAAGCTAAATGCTTTCCCCTGCAGATACAAACTGCATATTTAATACGGCAATTTGATTAAGTCAGTAAAACAGTAGCTCTCCCCTTTTTTTCGGTCTCAGATGTCTTTGTTTTTGGTGTTAATTTCCGTGGAGTCAGTTCCGACTCATAGCGTCCCTGTATAGGGTTTCTGAGGAGTGGCTGGTGAGCTTGAACCTCCGATCTTGCAGTTCAAATCAACCTTGCAGTCCAGCGCATTAACCCACAGTGCTACGCCAATATGCCTTTTTGTTGTTGCTGTTAAGTGTTATTGAATCGGTTCTGACCCATAGCGACCTTGTATAGTGTTTCCAAGGAACAGCTAGTGAGCTTGGACTGCCAACCTTGTGGTTCAAACCGCCTTCGCAGTCCAACGCATTAACTCACAGTGCCTTTAAAATAATGATAGACCCTAAAGAGCTTTTCTGTATGTGGGGGTGTGTTTAAGAATATTACCATATTAGATGTTAAAATGGAAATTAAGAAAATATTTATTTATGAATTCATTTTAAAAGCATCACTCCACTCCATGATAATGAACATGATTTGGTTAAAAAGATCTTTTTCATGTAGTGAGAGGAGTGGCTTTGTTTGATGTTGTCTCTGAACGTCTGAGAGACGACACGGCAGGTGATGTGGTCTCTGAACGTCTGTGAGACGACACGGCAGGTGGAGTCCCCGAGCTCCTCCCTGTTCAGCTTGTTGTTGGTATAAGTTGTGCTGAAGTCAGTGAAGAAACCCAGCCTCACACAGACATGGGGCTGGAAAGGAGCTCTCACATGATCATGCAGGCTCTTCCTAGACGTTATGCCCAAACCTGAAAGTGGTGGTTTGTTCAAGTTCACTGCAGTATGGAGCCTGAGACTATCATCAGTCTGCCTCTCATATTCTGGTATATGCAGTCCACTGGTCTCTTATACCCTTTGGATGTATTTGTAAGTTCTGTGTAATTTTCAAATATTGATACATTTCATTATGAAATATATCTATTTAAAAAAATCGCATTCATTAATGTCACTATCAATCTCACCAGAAAAGACTTTTAGTATTGGATGCTATCACGTTCACAGTGGTAGAGGGGACTTTTGTAATTTATTATTTAAAATTTGTAATTTTTTGATTGATAAAAATTGATTTTTATCATTGGCTACAAATTTCAGGAAGGAGACCTGGTAGTGTAGTGCTTAGATGTCGGGCTGCTAACCGCATGGTCAGCGGTTCCAATCCACCAGCCTCTCCGTGGGAGAAAGATGAAACTCTCCGTTGCCCTGAAGATGTACAGCCTTGGAAACCCTACACAGGGTCAATCTGAGTTGGAACCGACTTCATGGCACACAACCACCTCCACCACCTCCAGTACCTCCCCCTGCCCCCCCACCTCCACCATCACCACCTCCACCACCACCTCCACCTCTACCACCATCACAAACATAAGTAGGTTTCACAAAGTTTCTGACAAAATGTAATTATGAGATAATGCAAATTTCCCACAAACCTTTTGTAGTCCCCTCAAGTTACCATCTGTGTTCATTTTTTTGAGATAAACTTCTGCCAGACTCCTAAATAAGGAGTCTGAATAAGTTTGTCTGTTAGGTGTTCTTTAAATTAAAATCACATTCCGTGAAAGAAGTGTCTAATTGGGGTCACAACATACAGTCTGCTTTTAGGACTGTCTTTTCTCCAAGACCACCATTGCCCTGGCTCAGAGATCTTGCCTTGTAGGGGAGAAACAGCCCTTTAAACCAAGAAGAATAAGACCCATGCCCTCAAGTCTATTCCAACTCTTGCTGACCATGTGCTGTAGAGTAGAACTGCTCCCCAGGGTTTTCTTGACAGTGATCTTTTTATTTATTTAGCTTTTTACTGTGAAAGGAGTAATGGTTTACAGAGCAGAGCATCAGGTTTTACCACATCCCAAGCACTCATAGCTTGGAATTCTCACTTTCACAGCTAAAGGAAGGAGCGGTTCAGGGATCCCAGTAGGAGGTCCTAGATGGAGTGGGAGAATCTACTGCACTGGTAGAATCCGGAGACTGTGGGTCTTAGTCACCCTTCGGGTCTGGAAGTGAACCCACCCCATGGTTCAACTTTCAGCCCAACAATAGACAGGCCTATCAAGGAAACCTGGTGTGGCGCTGTGGGTTAATGCGCTAGACTGTAAAGCCATTTGAACTGTAACGTCAGCAGTTCAAGCTCACCAGCAGCTCCTTGGAAACCCTATGGGTGGGAGTCTACTCGATACAACAATAAAGAAACAACAGCACCAGGGAGGTACCTACATCTTTGACTAATCACCCACTTGAGATCAGAAGGGCAGCCTTTACTCAAGGGCAAAGTTCAAAGCCTTAGTTTAGGAGGAGGAAGGGGGATGGGAAACCCAGGGAGCCATGGGATGAGTGCCATTGCACTGAGAAGAAACACCATGTGTGTGAATCCTTGAATGGAAAACCCACCCTCGGCTCTGGAAACCTTCAACCAATTCACAATGAAAAGATTTTGAAAAAGAGAAGGGTCTTTGATTAGAAGAGGCTGGGGGAACCTGAGACTCTGGCCCTTGACCACCCTTCAGGTGTGGGAAGGAACTCACCCTCGTGGCCCAGTTTTCAGCCAAGCAATGTATGGGGGACAACAACACTGGTAAGGTATGTTCACATGGAATCATCAATCATTCAGGATCAAAAGGGCACCATGTACCTAAGGAGAAAGTTGAGAGGCGATGGGAAGGAGGGCGGAATGGAAACAGGACCCACAGGGAGGAAGCGGGGTCACTGTTGTTGCATGGAGGGTACTGTCATCGCTGAGATGAAACAAATGTGTGATTTGTTCAATGTAAAACTGATGAGCTGCTCTGTAAACTTTCACTCAATTCACAATAAAAGTTGTGGTTGTTTTTTTTTTAAAAAAGCATAAATGACAAAACAGAGAAAAATAAATGCAAAAAGCAAAACCAAGAAGGGCCTTAGAGCTGGAAGGAAAAGGTCCAACAAAGGCAGGGGACAGTCTAAGAGGATGGCTTGTGGGGACAGCCAGGAGGTGGGTGTGGTGAGAGCAGAGGAATGGGCTGGAAGGTCCCAGAAAGGCTGTGGAAGGAGAGATTAGTGAGGCCACGCTGGAGAAGGTGGGCTTCACCCTGCTGACATCATTTCATGTTTATTTTGGTGACTGATAGACAGGGAGGGCGGTGGGTTGGAGAGAAATGCGGTTAGAAATAGCGAGAGCTCAACAGTGTCAAGCACATGGCTCAGGCTGCCGGAAGTGCTGCCAGGGTTGTACTGTGAGGTTCGCACAGCACCCCTTCTTGTCTGAGGGCGTTTGGCACAAGCAGCCCGGTCAGTGTTCCCGAACCCTGGACCTCTCTGTCCCCTGCTCCCGACGACTCTGTTCTGGTTTCTAGAATTTGCTCCTGGCCTGTAACTTGGCTTGGTTGCCAGACTCGCTCTGGGGAATGTGTCTGCTCCCTCTGGCCAGTGGCTCCCATACAACCCCACCTCCTCCCTTTTCCTCATCCTCCTGTAACACCCAATTCCCCTTCTGGATATGGGGCCCTGCTCAGCCAGTGTGTACTGAGGGATCATGGGGCCCTCTTACAGGGAAAGGGTCACAGCAAACCGAACCCACTGTGGCTGAGTCCGTTCTCCCTCACAACGACCCTCTAACACAGTAGGACTGCTCTGTGGAGGTTCCATGCTGTTACCTATATGGAAGCAGACTGCTTCATCTTTCTCCCTCGGAATGACTGTTGGACTCAAACCTCCCACCTTTTGACTGGTAGACCAGCTCTTCACTCTCTGCTGCCAGGTGCTTAGAGGAGCAGAAGTGAAGAGCTGTGGGAAGGAGTGATTGGAAGGACTTGAAGCAGTTGGGCATTAGGGATGCAATAGATGGAAGTCAGGATGGAGCGAACCTGGGCAGAGAATTCCGAAAGAAGCTCATGTTTGGGCAAAAAGTGCTGAGCTGTTTTCTTGGGTTTGTCAGTCAATATCAGTCTGTCTGTCCACCAGACCATTATAGGTCTTCGAGTCTGGGAGTCAGATAAGCACCTCAGATGTTTGGAAACAACTGGAATAGAGGTGGCAGTTGAAATCTAAGGAGATTAAAAACTGCCCAGCACAAGAGGTACCTAAAGAGATCAGGAAAGGAGGTCTCCAACAAGCTTCAATTTTGAAAAGATTGAACACAGAGTGTGAGGAGACACACATACA